TTAATTCTATATATTTTTCAAAAATCAATAACGTCTTTATGGTTTATTTGAGACTTTGGTGAAACCAGAATATTTATAATATTAAGACTATCATAGATGTATTTGCGAAGAAATATGTTAAATATTAAAATAAAAGTAAAAATAATTCAAATTATTAATTTTACAATATTTTTTAGGTATTTCGTTTGTTTTGTCCAAACCAAATAACTTGAAACAATATCAGCGAGTAAAACGGGGGAACAGTTATGAAAACATGACATTTACTTTCGATTGCACAAATAAACCTGTGGGGTTTTACGCCGACCAGGAATATAATTGTAATGTTTTCCACATGTGTGATGAAAAAGGTACCCGAATTCCTCATGCCTGTGCTAGTGGAACAAGCTTCAATCAGGAATATAGAATTTGCGACTGGGATTACAATTTCAATTGCTCCGAAGCTCATAAGTGGTAAGCAAGATGTTATTATTATTTATATAAACCTATAAATATTGCAAATCTCACTTCTCCTTTTATCAAGACATTATTTAGGAAGTCAGACAAGTCAGGACGGAAGGAGTAGCAAGGATATAAAGCAGAGAATAGGGCAGGGTCGTGTCGACTTTAATAAAAAAGTCACTTCTAAGCTCGCAAACGGTTAATTTAGAAATTCCAAAAAGGTTGTTAAAGGTGTATGTTTGGAGCGCGGCGTTGTACGGGTGCGAAGCCTTCGAAATGTGGTGAATGATGAGGATAACGTGGATAGAAAAGGTTAGAAATGATGAGGTATTAGAAAGAATAGGAGAACAGAGGACTCTATGGAAGTCAATAAAAAATAGGCGAGATAGGTTGGTAGGACACCTTCTCAGGCATGAAGGACTAGTCAAAGACATATTAGAGGCAGAAACAGGAGTGAAGAGGGGTAGAGGAAGACCTAGATTAGATGACTGTTTGCAAATAATTAAGGATGTGGGTTCTAGTTTTAGGGAAATGCGAAGTTTAGCTCAGGATAGGAAAGAGGCGAGGTACGTGTCCAACCAGTCTTAGGACTGACGACCTTATGATAATAAAGATGTAAATATAATTTTATTGTGCCAGTTTATCGTTGATTATAGCTTCAAATTTTGATAAATAATAATCGGGCATTTTAAATGATTTTTAACTGGATTCCATGTAGTCTTAAATAACACTGTAAATGCGTGCTGGATTGTAACAGATAAAATGAACGTGTGGGTGGCGTTGCCACTTATATCGATTTCATCAATACAGTCTTATTAAATAATCTTACAGTAAAACCTTATAGTTCACTATAGGTTTAGTATTAGCAATCATCAAGACACAGGACAATTTTTCATCAAAATATTACTACTTAGACATTAGGTTTTCTAAAACAGGGCTGGTCAACTTTTCTGAATATAAGATCTACTTTATATTTTAAAAGTGTGTCGCGATCGACATGTTGTCATAGGCGTAGTCTAAGAGGCAAAAAGGGGTGTGAAATGCATACTGTGTTTATACACTCTGTTTTAGTATAAGGTGCGTTCCAGTGAGCTATGGGTAGATAAGTAAAATATATATTGAAAACTATTTTTTATCTTTCAAATCACTAATTAAGTTTTCGAGATATAGGCTTATAAAGAAAATAAATTGCTAGACTCAACTTATGGTAGCACTATTTCGTATATGCGGTATCTAAATAATTTTCGATTTTCCGACAATTTTTAAAGATAAATGGTTACCAACTTAAAATGCAATTTATTTTTTTTTATCAGCTGCAATGTATAAGTTGTTATACCGTTTGTTAGTAAATATATCAAAAAGTTGTTATAAAATACAGTGTGACTGATAATTCGATTTCAATATTTCACTTTCGAGTTTTTCTTTGGGCCAGGAAAATTTATCATGAAAGAATAATTTGACTTACTTTTTGCTAATATATCAATAGCTCGTTGAGTATACTTCGTACTGAAATACAGATATACGACTTATCTGCTTACGTAAAAATCAACAACAATAGTTATTTAAAGGGCCCAAAAACTAACGCCCGGGGGAATTAAAATAACATGGACAGTTATTAACAAAATTTATTAATTCAATTGACAATAATGGAAAGATTGATTGCATTAAACTGTTGCTAGGGAGTTTTGTCATCTACAATCCCTTCAAAGTTTATGATATACGGGACATTCTGAGCGATCGACCAAAATTGGCCTCGCGATCGATCGGTCGATCGCAATCGACTTGTTGGTCACTCCTGTTCTAAAACATCGAACCATCGATGTGTGAACAAAATGATAGAAAATTGATTTTTTTAACAATCAAATTCAGCTTGTACAAACTTTCATTAAGGTATCAAACTTATCTCTAAAAAAAATTTTCGAACGGCTTTTAGATGTTAACCTGACAATGTGTATTCCGAACCATGTTTTATGGACCATGAACTTAGGAATGTAGTTCTTAATTTTTATACTGGATGTCATTAATATATTTTTTTGATTTTAAGGTTGTAACACAGCATAAACTTATTATCACGGGTAATACCGTTTTTACATCGATCTTTAATTTTACATAAATAAATATGAAAAAGACTTCAGCTTTTAGGGTTCCGTACCTCAAAAAGAAAAAATGAACCTTATAGGATCACTTCGTTGTCTGTCTGTTTTTCCGTCAAGGCTCTTTTTCTCAGAAATGAGTGAAGGAAATGATGTTTCAAATTAATATTAATCACTCTTGTCTGCAGTTCCTTGGAGCTGTGAAAAAATGAAATTCTAAATCAACGCAATCAAAAAATACGGCCATTTATGCTCTCAAGGGAATCAAAACCTATATGGTACCTGCAAAAAGCAATGTCTTATAGCAGAAATATGGAGAAAAATTTGAAAACCGTAAATTTTTTAGTTGTAATTATTCCTCATAGGGACTGATTTGGGGAGGGGGGGGGGCGGACTTTGAACATACTCGGAAAAACGCGAAAAAGCTTTGAGACTCGATTAGGAAGATTATACTTTAATTCTTAATAAAGATAATGGTAAATAGGCTGAGCAGCCCAAATAAAACGTTAACTTTTGCAGTAAGATTAATAAACAAACAGATTTTTGCTAAAACTGTTATGCTGGTTGAATCTATTCTTCACACCCTTACTAAGTACATTAAAACTCATAGGTGTATTATATTATCATTATAATAATTGATAAGTTATGACTAATAGTTTACGAAGTCGGTGGTTTAGCTTGTTTTTTACACTAACTGTTTATTAACCGTTTTTAATTAGCAAGTCTGCTTTTGTAAGTTTCTTTATTCTATACAAGTGTTATAAAACTCATAATTGTCTAAATCTAAACGTTTTCGAGTTATGGGGGACTTTGCCGTACTAATTGTTTATTTAGTAATATATTTCAGCAGCAAAAGAATCAATTAATCTCTAGATTAGAGATCCTTTCTTTCAACACAAAACTACTTTCCAAAAGTTCCTGTTCCTACACTTATTATCAGGAAAAGTTCATTGCCATAGAATCAGATTACTGCATAGCAAAAGACAAGTGAATTTGACTTTCAATATAACTAGTTAGACCCACATAGATGGTTTAGAATGTAGGATGTTATTGCTTTAGGGAAATATGAAGATTAGCTCAGGATAGGAAAGAGTGGAGGTGTGTATCCAACCATTCTTAGGATTGACGACCCTATGATGATGATGATGATGCTGATAATAATTTGATTACTAATTACCTCTATTTTAAAGTAATATGGCTCAATTAGAAATGACTTCTTTTTATTGACTCGACTCTGCGGTATCCTCTGATTTACGAGGGTGGATTGATAAGTTTCCGGCCTGACCAAGAAAAACAAGGTTTTTAAAAATTTTTTTTTTTTATTTCCCAACATAATCTCCAAGGCTGATACATTTCTCATAGCGGTGTTCCAGTCTATTAATGCCATCTCTATAGACTGATTCGTCAAGCTCCTCAAAATAATAACCATTTACAGCTTCGATTACTTCTTCATTGTCCGCAAATTTACCGCCAAGCCATTTTTTGAGATTAGGGAACAGAAAATAGTCACTCGGGGCTAGGTCTGGAGAGTAAGGAGGGTGCGGCATCATCAATTCAAACTTTAGATCGTTGATTTTAGCCGTCGCAACGATTGACGTGTGCGCTGGTGCGTTATCGTGATGAAACAAGATTTTTTTCGCCAGATGAGGTCGTTTAATTTTCACCT